TCCAAAGCTGATTCAGTTTTCCACTGAACGCAAACATTTTTATTATATAGCAACTTATTCTGTTTCCCGTATTTTTAATTATTTTGTAATTATTTAGGTTTAGCACTACATTATCTCTGCCCCAACCATAATTCTCATTACCTGAACTACAATGCTGACCCATTTTTAGATACTGCACTTAACTTTGATTATAGGCCTAAACCTGTTCTCACTGAGTAACATTAACCCACCAATATCAAGTATTTTGAGATATATAAATCAAAACACTAATTAAGAGCTAAGTATTACCATTAAATTTGGAAAAGTCACTGTACTAATACAGTGGCTTTATAACTTCTATCCTCATCTCTTAAAATTTCCCTACAAAAAGGTTTTAAGAAATTTGCAGGCTATATGGCTAATTTGGGGAAGATGTACTTCTGGAATAACAATCTTATATTTGAGGAAGAGGTAGGTAAGTGAAGAATTGAAAATGTGCACCACAAAGTACCGATTTTACAATTGGTTTCATGCATACATGTCTCTGTTAGCAAACTGATGCTTCAACACACTAGATTTGCCTTATTTATATAAATTGCTATAGATTCCTTATCTGGGTCTCAGAGATTTGCATACAAAGGTACATTAATTCTGTGTTTAATGACATTTGTATAATTGATGGCACATGTCATTCTCTGCTCTGTCTTGAGATTTCTTGCCTCCAATGTGCTAGTTGTCTAGTCAGGAATTGTAAAGTCTTTTTGTGGATTGTGTATGGTATAGCCATTGTACAAATAAAGGGAAACCATTCCAGTTCTTGTTATCTCCAACAGAAGAGATCTATTTATGCTTTTATACCACACTGACCAAACTGAGCACCTAATTGTCTCAACGTTTCTGGTTGTCCCAAACCAGTTAAGATTGTTCTGGTCATGATTCACCTATGCCTTCGGACATTTTCAAATACACCTCTACGCTGTAGATATAACAGATATAACACTGTCCTCGGGAGCCAAAAAAATCTTACTGCGTTATAGGTGAAACCGCATTATATTGAACTTGCTTTGATCCGCCAGAGTGCGCAGCCCCGCCCCCCCAGAGCGCTGCTTTACCTCGTTATATCCGAATTCGTGTTATATCGGGTCACGTTATATTGGGGTATTGTATATGTTTAATCTTAACATTTCTTCAATTTCTAATAGTGTGGTTTTTTAAAAAAAAAAATAGCTACACAGTGTGTTTTTTTAAAATGTATTTGTTTACCTTTAAATTACTGGTATGTCCTTAACCTTAACAAAGTTGGTATGTCTGGGATTTATGTATTTACATTGTTTATGAATGTACTGCAAACCATTCTGACATTCTATGTTCTACTGCATCTAGTTCCCTAACATGCCCTTCCCCATTTCAGAATTAGTGTTCTAGATTTCACCAAGATCTCTCAAATAAATCTCATTTGAAATTTCTAGTACAAAATGATTCTGAAAAGAAAACAGCAAAGATATAATTTTCTAAACATGATTAAAGCCTTGGTTGTTGTTTTATCCTGAGTCTTATAACTCAAAAACAGCTTCTTTCACTCAACGCAAATTTGGACCAAAAATGTTTGCTGACCACAGACCACACATGCAAGATCTGAAATGGGAATGACATTTTTTGAGGATTTTGGAGGGGGTGGTACTGTCACATCAGGCTTACAAGGCAAGTCTCAAGTCTCAATCTGTAATATAGTAAAAAGAAATCCACTATTTTCAATCCTACAACTAATTTCTAATTTGGACTATCAATATATATTATATAATACATATAATAAAACAATTTGAATACATTGTGTGAAGTCCTGGATAAAGGGACAACCAATAGAAAGACTAAAAGACTAACCAGGTTCCTATAAAATGTATCATACCAAGTTGCAGCAGCAGCAGCATTTTCTATCTCAGCAGTTCTCAACCAGGGGTCCAGGGTCCTCTAGGGGGCCGCAAGCAGGTTTCAGGGGGGCCGCAAAGCAGGGCCAGTGTTAGACTTGCTGGGCCTCAGGGCAAGAAAGCTGAAGCCTTGCAGTGTAGGGCTGAAGCCCAGAGCTCCCAGCCCGGCCACCTGGGGCTGAAGCCGAAGCCTGAGCAACTTAGCTTTGTGGGGACCCCTGTGGCATAGGGACCCCTGTGGCATGGGGCCCTGGGCAATTGCCGGGCTTGCTACCCCCTAATGCTGGCCATGGCTTTTGTATGCAGAAAAACAGTTGTGAAGCTGGTGGGCCGTGAAGTTTTTATAGCATGTTGGGGGGACCTCAGAAAGAAAAAGGTTGAGAACCCCTGTTTTACCTTGTTGGTTTTACTTTGGAAAGAATACATCCACAATGTGAAGTTACCAAACCTCACATTACTCTGCAACCTAATAGGAAAAGGTGAGTTTCCATTTTCAAAACTAACCCAGTATAACTTGAAAGAAGGAACATTATGATTTTCTTAAAACCGTACAAACCAAATATTAACCTTGTTTAGTTAAAATAATTCTCCATACTCATCACCAAAATCCCACGTTGAAAATAACATGTTCTTCCATACATGTTCTTTCCAGCTTAGGAAATTCACAATATACGCCACAAGAGACATGCTTATAAAAATTCTGTTTCTAAAATTCCTGACCTCCAGTAAAATACTAACTCCAAGAGTGAAATACCTTTTTATCAAATATTACAAACATTTACAATATTTCTCACTTTAAGACCTAGTGTGTAACAAATAAAATTCAAAAGCAGTTGGCATACCACCTTTGCAATTTTAATCAGTGCAATTATGAGTTCTTATCCTGATACTATACTTTAAACCTGCATGCACCACAGTTTGAGAACCAATTTACAGCAGATATCCTCCAACAAATACAATACACAAAGCAACTCTGAGATTAACCCTCATTTTGCTGTTTGCTTAATTACTTCTATACAAACCCACCCAAATCCAGAGAAAGATAAGAGGAATTTATTCTATCACACGAGGAGACTGAGCTAGGGTCTGGTGTGACAGACTAAAAGTTCAGCAACAATCATAGAATCACAGAAGTGTAGGATTGGAAGGGACCTCGAGAGGTCATCTAGTCCTGCCTGCACCCAATGCAGGACCACATAATAACTAGACCATTCCTGACAGGTGTTTGACTTGTTCTTAAAAACCTCAAAAGACAGAGATTCCACAACCTCCCTAGGCAATTTGTTCCAGTGCTTAACAATCCATCCTCTTAAAATAAAATAAAAAAACTCAGTACTAATGGACTCCCGTAAGACTACTCAGCTAAATTAGCAAACCTTAAGGCACAGTGAGGAGTGTGGACACCAATCTCCATCCCACATAATCTAGTCCTGCATCAAAATTACCTACCCTCTGGCTGGAAGCCTATAACCTTACTTCCCAAATTCTGAACTTTCCTACCATGTTGCCTGTGTCTGTCAAGACTAGATGTAGACACCTCTATTCCAGTATATCTTCAGAGATCCATCTAATTTGAAAAGATTACTTCTATATCACTGGGAAAACAAAGATCATCCTTCTTTAAGCAAAGGGAGATAGGAGATAACTTTTTGCCATGTTAGGTGCTGAGGTTATCCCCTCAAGAAACAATAACCTGGATGAAATCTCTTATTACAAGATCTTACATTCTAACTCAACTATCTCACTTGCCAAAGTGAGAAAAAACCTCTCCATAGAGACATCAACGCTATTACATTTTTCTTTTCTTCCTAGATACATTCCCTGCTTTGCCTTCTGTGTTCTTGTCTCCTTCCTTCTCATTGCTGCTTTTGATTAATCCTTAACTATCCTCTTACTTCACTTATAGCAATAAAAAATACAGCGCAACAAGAGTACGTATCTAAAGCATTTTCTCTACTTACGCACATAACTTTTCTTAACCTTTCAAAATGTTAGCAGTGATTTGTTAACACATTTGCATTCATCTCCTTTTCTACATTAAAGATTAAAATATTAAAATTTCACAACCTACCAAAGTTGCCAAAATGTCCGCTCGTCCCAAAGCAAGACCACAACTACTAACAATCCCCCCAAACACTAGTCCCAATGCAGAACAATACATGAAGACCTCTCCCTGCACCAAACATATGCATGAACCTGTTCTTCATCTTCCACCCCTCACATTCACAAGAAAACACTCTCCGAACATCTCCAAAACACCCCTCAGCCTCCTCACAGAAGCTGCCACCCTGACACATTGCTCCCCTCCTCTGAGCCACATGCGGCACATCCCCTCTCCTCCTCCTGGACCCTTCCCACTATGACATAGGCATGAATAGTTCTGTCTCCCCACCTCACGCCATGTGTGACTCCTTCCCCTGCCTTTCCATACAACCCCCCACACCATATACACAGTCCCACAATTCCTCTGACATCCACACACCTTGCACACACACTCACCACCCCCACAGGGCCCTACCGACCCCAACACGCACCCCCACATCTCCACCCCCTACCTACACCCCCCAAGCCCCATCTGCGCCCTCCCACTCCCCCACCCCCATGTTCCCCATCCAGCCACCCCCACCCATAATAATGCCCCCGCACCTACGTCCCCTCTCCCTGCCCAGCGTGTGCCCCCCACCGCCAGGCGGCTGCCAGCCCCCGCCCCGTCCCAGCACAGCGAGGCGGGATCAAACCCCAGCCAAGGAGTTTTCGCCCCATCAGGCCCTAGGCCGCTCCGCTTAGGAGCGGGGGGAACCAGCCCCAGCCCCGTTCCTGGCGGCCCGGCCGGACCGCGCTAGGCCGCGGCAGGCCCTCCGCCTGCCCTGGGCTGGGCCAGGAGCCGCCGGCGGCCGCGGGGCCGGGGCCTGCCCGTAACGGACACGGCCCCCTCCCCCATGACACTGCAAAGCTGCCCGGCCGCCGCCCTGGCCCCGGCCCCCCCGGGGCCTCCTCCGCCGCCGGCCCCGGCCCCCCCGCTCTCGGCGGCGCCGCCATGACGATCCCGCTGGCCGGCGGGTGCCCTCCGCCGGCAGGCCCCGGCCCGGCCCTCACCTTCATGTCGGGACATCCTAGTTCAGAGGCGGCGGCCCAGGCCCGTCCCGGGCTCCCCTGGCTGCTCGGCGCCGCTCGGCCTGGGCCCCGCGCGCTAAGCCCGGCGCGGGCAGGAGGCGGCGGGCGCGGGGGGTCGGTTGCGGCGGCCCCGGCCTCTCCAGGGGGCGGATCCAGCAGCTTCCCGGGCGCCGTGACACGGTGACTTCGTCGGGCCCCGCCGGCTCCTAGCGCCGCCCCCCGCCTCCTTCCCCTGGCCCCCGCTTCCGCTGCGGCCGCTCAAGTCCCCGGGCTGGGTCTGGGCGCCTCCCGCTCCCGGCCACAGCTCCGCCGCCGCCGCCTCCGCCCAGCCCCCTCCCTCCCCCCGCCCGGCGGCCGCCGCTGCTGCTGCATGCAGGGAGGAAGAGGAAATACACGGCAGCGAGGGGGGCCGGGAGCGCGGCACCGCCCCGCCGGGGAGGGGGCACAGCCCGAGCTCCCCGCCCGGGGCCAGCTTCCGTCCCTGCCCCAGGGCGGCGGCCGGGGTGGAGCAGCCTCGTCCGAGCCCCCCCTCCGGCTCCTGCAGCTCCCCAGCCGGGGCACATTCCCCTTGCACAGAGGGAACAAGGGGGCTGGGCCCAGCCGGGCCGCCCTGCCCGCTCCTGCCGCAAGCCCGGGGGCACGGGCTGGAGAAGGTCCCAGCCCGAAGCCACCCGGGGCGCCCGCTGCAGAGCCGCCCCTGCCAGGCGGTCCGGGCTTGCGGGGGCTGGGAAGAGAGAACCATAAAGCCCAGCGTGAGACAGGGCGACAGCCAGGCGTTGGGGGGGGGAGAAGAGCGAGAGGGGTCGGGACAGGGTCGGGGGTCTTGTACTTTCCATTATTGTTCGGCCCCGCCATGGGATAGCACCAGCCCGCGGGAAGTCTGAGCCGCCCTAGTGCACCCCCGGAAGTGCAGGTGGAGCCCCCCGACCCACATGGCTCCCTTCCTGAAACTTGGCTCTTTCTTCCAGCCCCGCTCCTGGGCTGATGCAATGTAAAGTTAACCTTTAAAAAGCCAGAAGGGGGGAAAGTTGAGGCTCCTGTTACCTGGGCTATGCTGCCCCTAGGACAAGCCCAGTATCTTTGTTTTTCTCAACTATGGGGCTCACAGCATTTCTGTTTGTTAGCTGGACATCGTCCAGTACATAGGCTGTGGCCGCAGCAACCTTAACGGTGGCCTGTTATGATAGTTTTTGTAAAATAATGCCGCTGAGCAGCTTTCCTGTTACCTTAACAGCGCTTTTGCTTTTCATTTTACATTTTTCAGAGAAAAGGAACACGCCTGGGATTAACAGTAGCATCAACAATTCAAACTGGGCATTGACACTTTTAGTAAAGTGACCTTTTGTTAAGGGGAGGGTGGGTGGGTTCAGATTTGGACTTGGAGACAACTCAGCTTTGCAGAAAACTAACAGGGCAGCAACACATCCCTTTACCCTGAGGTGGTTTCCAATCTCGGGAACGGAAACGTTGTTGTTGTTGTTGTTGTTGTTTTTTAATAAAAAAAAAGTTAGAATTTGCAGAATGCTGGAGAAGTTAAAAATGAACCCCCAAATTGTGAGACCCACATTTTTTTCACATCTGACTTCCTTCTTTCCCTGCTAGTAAGGCATTATTTTTGGATAATTGTACATCTCATTGATACACACAAAACAATCCACCTCAGTAAAGCAACAGCCTGAGAGTAGCTGTGTCCTTGTGCCTACTCTGCCAGTCTTCTTTCTTGACTCTTGAGCAGTGAAATAGGCAGTGATGTCACAAAGAGGGTGGGGAATCATTAATCTTAGCTTTAAAAAAAAAAAAGCCAATACTACTGAGCATGCTCAACGTTGATTTTTTTAAATCAGTTATTAATTTTATTATTCATTCCAACCAATTTTTAATTACACTTGGTCAAGGACACAGGGCCAGCCATAGTGTGTGGGGGGGGGGAGCGAAAGGGGTGCCAGAACTGTGAAACATTTTGCTCACAACATCTTTCTGTCAGCCATCTCCAAAAACAAAACCGTTTTTTAACTGTTTCTTGTCCTCCATGGTCATGTATCACTATGCATTAATCTGAATATCTCAAATGTTTCTAAATTAAATACATATTGCCAACCCCAAACATTAAAAAGTCACGACTTAGCCCCCCAAAAATAATTGGCTTGCAAAAATTAAACTATAATAATCACTTTGTCTTTAGAAGGAGGCACTTACCCTTAATTTGCACGATCATTTCATGTTCAAACTTTGACATACAATTCAACTTTTAAAAATACAACCAGAAATGCAAGCCTCCCCATTTTAGCACTGTCCTGTCTCTCTCTCTGTTCTGGCCCTTCCCTGATCATCTCCCACCCTCTACATTCTCCCCCACTACACCTATAGCCATCTGCCCCAAAATGTTCCCTCAAAGTCTCCTTCTTTGCTCCTGTCCCCCTGTACTTTTGGTCAGTCTCCCTCCTGTACCCTACATTCCCTGGCACCCCAGTCAACCTCCTCACATTCTCCTGTTCCTTCTGTTTACTTCCTGCCCTGAATACCCCTACAACTCCCCTCAGTTTTTCCCCTACACCCCACATCATCCAGCAATGCCCATCAATCTGCCCTATCCCCCCGCCCCCCCCGCCCCCCTTCCTCCTATTCATTCTCCTGGGCTCCCTTCTGTATTCTCAGTCACCCTACTGGCCATCCTCCCTAAAGGTAGCTTAGCTTCAGTCTCACTGAAAACAAGGGGGGTGGGGGGAGGAAGAGAGGGACAGAATGGTGGCCATCTTTATTAGGGGCAACCTCACTGTCACATGCAGAAGCTGAAGGGAAATGGTGGCCATTTTGACTGAGGGCAGCCTCAGGCTTCAGTGCTCTTTGAAATGATGGGAGACGATGGCCCCTGTCAAAGGCAAAAATTTGCCAGAACCCTGCAGTAAATTGTGAGAACTTAACACACACACACACACACACTAATGAGAGTTCATGGCTCAGGGCTAAGAGGACGTCCCTTCAAAACCAGGATTCCAGGACCCATTTCTGTCAATTTTACATCAAATGGTGTTTTGTCCTACATTTTGTAAACCATCGGCCACCTGAAGGAGCTGCTCTCTATGTATCTCTTACATAGTCTTGTGGCCGAGACATTGCATTGAGTCTCAGGAGATTTGGGTTCAGTTCTTGACTCTGCCACGGGTTCACTACGTGACCTTAGGCAAATCATTTAATCTCTCTATGCCTCAATTCCTCATCTGTAAAATGGGGGTTAATAATCCTTCCTGCCTCTTTGAGTACTAGTCATGTGGATCCCACTCATGATGTGTATATATATATATATACATACATACATACACACACACATATATATATACACACACATACATATATACATACATACACACCCACCTCGTGTGTGGGTCCAGAGAACCTTTTGGCCAGCAGTGTCCAGTGGAGCTGTCCTCACACCCCACCCAGGGGCATAAGGAAAGTGAAGCCCCATCCACCATTCAGTTCCCTCTCACCACCTGCATCAGAACTCAGGGCTTGTCTATGCTTAAAATGCTGCAACCACACCTAGCGCTTTCTACGCAGGGACTTAGGTCAATTTAACTACTCTGCTCAAGGGTGTGGATTTTTCACACCCCTAACAGATGTATTTAAACCAAATTAATTTTCTAGTGTAAACTAGGTCTCAGTGATGTCCACCCCACTCCCTGGTGAAGATTCTGAAATTTAAACTCTCTAATCCCAGTAGTTCGGTTTAGTGTTGTTAGATACCGTTAAAACATTTTCCTGCCCTCATGGCAGTATCTTGGCTATTTTAGGCAGAGTGCTAAATATTATTTTAAACAATTTCATTTCTATTACAATATTTTTATTTAAATTGATTATTTGCATGTTGCTAGTTCATTAGTTTCTTAAATTGCTAAAGGAAAGAAGTACAAAACAGCCCCGTTAGTTTTCTAATTGTATAAATCTATTAAGAAGAACAAATAAAGAGGCGCCTGCACAAGGCTCTAGAGGCCCCTGCCATAAATTATGAAAACAAAATTAAGTTGCTCACAGAACTCCACATTTCTTTCTGACCCGCACCTCTGATACCACACAAAGCGGCCCCAGCAGCAAATCACATAGAAAAGTATCTTGCTCTGACCGTCAATAGACTTGAACTATTTTGAACCAGGAGGGGAAGACTGTTCCAGAGCTGAGGGCCCCACACAGAATGCTCTACTACAACCTCCTCTCCTAAATCAAAGGGGAGCCAGCTCTAACTGTCAGTAGAACGTCAGCTTTTACACAGAGACTTTCTGTACTAAGAGGTTTCACATTTAGAGCATAAGATCCCCAAAGACAGGTTCAGGGGTTCATTAACAGCCTTGCTATGAGAACGGCACAAAACCAAAACTAATCAGCAATTAGCCTGTGCTATATTTGCAACCAACACCACCGTTGGCTATATTGAACATCCACAAGTCAAGAAAGCCGAAATGCTTCGACCGGGCTACACTATTCAATTTGGGTTTGCAGTGCTCCTAAGTCACCAAGGCCTGATCTATACTACAAAGTTAGGTAGAGTCTTGTGTCAACCTGTGTGTGTATCTGCATTCAAATTTGTCTCCAGCCACTGTAAGTGCCTGGTTCCACCTCCCCGAACGGTGTAGATTTACAGCCAACCTACCAAGGTCAATGCAGTCTGAGCGTAGACAATGCATGACCTGTGTCAACCCTAACAGTTCTCCAGACGCTGTCCTACAATGCTGCATTCCCTGCAACAGTGACTGCTCTGGTCACAATTTTAAATTTCACACTGCCCACAGGCCAGAGAAGTCCACCCCCTTAAGCCCACTGCGTGTTTTTGAAATGTCTTTTTTTCATTAGCGAGCAAACCTAGCAGCTCTCCCTTGTTGTGTGCAACTTCCCAACAAAACGTGCTGGCTCCACGGACACAGAGGTACTCATACTAGATGCGCTCCTGCCTGGAGTAGACGGGAGGTATTGGATCTCCTGGGCCTGTGAGGGAGAAGAGACTGGTAAGCACAGTTACACAGTGTAGAAAGGAGGGCATCTATAAGCAGTTTACACAGGGGCCATAGGCAAAGTGGTACAACAGGGATCAGCAGTAGTGACACATGAAAGCGAAGGAACTTCGCCGGGGATACCACAAGGCCAGGGAGCACAATAGATCTGGGGCTGTCCTGCAGACATGCCAC